GCGGGCCCGGCGCGGCGGGCCCCTGACCCCTCGGCCGCTGTGTTGTGTTGCAGATGAGCTGTCCCAGTCCAGCGCCACGATCTCGCACTGAGCGGCGGTGAACATGGGGGAGAACAGTCCTGAGGGCAACGTTATCTACTACGAGGTGGAGGAAGATGAATTGGCCCAGGATGACAATATGATGAGGTTTGGCGATAAAAATGGCCTGGTTCCTTCGTCATCTGGGACGGTCTATGACAGGACAACTGTTCTGATAGAGCAGGACCATGGTGCGCTGGAAGATGATGAAGATGAAGGACAATGTGGCGATCACTTGCCTTTTTTACCAGAGGGTCATGAAGAAGGATTTCATTTAATAGCAGATCATGAAGGAATGTCCCAGGGTTATGTGCAACATATTATTTCTCCGGATCAGATTCATTTAACAATAAATCCTGGTTCAACTCCTATGCCAAGAAATATCGAAGGAGCTACGCTCACTTTACAGTCTGAATGCCCAGAAACCAAGCTTAAAGAAGTAAGTAGTTAAATATAATTCTAAATTTTATGCTTATTTGGAGTACTTTTCACCTAGTGACCTTAAAGGCTTTGAAAATTTATTTTCATAAAGTGATTTCGGGAGGCAGACGGCAACTTCTTCTGTTTTTAAATGCTAGTGTGTTGTTAATTTTCCTCAATTACTCTAAGAAATCTGTGTTATTTTTATTTATAGTAATGCTTTGTGCAGATAGGCATAACAGGTTTCCCACAGTCACTCAGTGGGTCAGCAGCAGAGCTGTGCGTGTGATCAGTTTTCGTTCTAATATCCTTCTGCTTTCACATGGAGCACCATCTGATAACCCACTAAACAGTAGGCAAACACGGTAGTGAAAATGCATTTATGTTGATAGTGCATGTGCTTTTAGTAACCTCTTGTTATTCTTTTGGTTGGATAATTATTTTTTCAGAGTTGTGAGAAAACTAAAAAGAACACATACTCTGTTATTCTGTGGTGTAATATGTTCTTGAGAAAACTGCAGCCAAATTACAAGTTAAACTTTAACCTATTGGAAAGGGCTATAGTATGAAGCTTAAGATGTTGAACTTTAAGACTGCAAGGTAATTTGAAGTGTCATTCATGGGGATGCTGTGAAAAGCAACTAAGTGAAATTTTAAACTATCATCTGCTGTGTTTCAAAAACATAAGTCAGCTTGTATGTTTACAGTGGAGCTTGATTTCTAATTCTGTTTGCCTAGTGAATTCTAGCCACATGAAAAATGATGAAGACTTGTACAGACTGGCTTGGGATTCTTATTTTTTAGGTTCAAAAGCAACGCCAAAAAAAAAAAAAAAGGAAACACCAACACATTTTTTGCTAGCAACTTTGAACTACTTTTGTGCCCTTCTGAGTTAAATAAGGGCTAATTTTATACAAGTTTTTCTACTAGTATGGTTGGAATTACTTGTGTAACTGATATTCATTGTGAGTGAGGATTGTAGAAATGAGCCTTTGCTTAGAAAGGAAGCTAGGTTTGAACAGTCTGAATAATTTAGATTAACAGGGAAGCTTGATCATCACTCACTCAGTGATGAGGAAATGGGGCTGTAGGAGGTCAGTTTTACAACTAGTTATGTAATTTGCGGCCTGAATTTTGTTCAGTAAGGCCTTTTGGTCTAAGAACCATTTTTTGCTCAATTCTTATTCATATTAGCAGCTTCTGTGCTCTGCCTTCTTAGCTGCTAAAATGTTAATTTTGATACGTCAGTCATGCCACTGTTTCCTTTTCGTAGGAGCTTGTAATCAACTTGTAATCTACAATATCTGAGAACAGTGTGTGCTAGCTAAATTCATATTCGTGACTCTACAAATGCAATTGAAATGGTTTGTTTTTCTTTTGCATGCCTTTCCTCTTTTCTCTTACGAGGTTTGTAAGACCTAGGATTTTTTGACATTGTTTGAGCATATAAATTTATTTTCCTTGCCTTGGATTAGTTTTCCGGGGTGTGGGAATGTATCTCACTATAATGTGAGTGTAGTGGAAATAAATCCTAAGCAAATGTTACTCTTTCCAATCTAGGACAACCCTCCCCCCGCCCCATTATTTCAAAAGCTTGGTGAGCTATCAGGAGGAAAAAGCTTTGGTGAGCCAAAAGTTCAGGAGTTTTCAAAGTGATAACACCAGTCCAATTCTTAGGTACTTAAAACATCCATAGTAGTTGTAATATTTGAGATAAATGTTTTAAAATCTTAAACTTTCAGGTCTTTCTTTCTTTCTTCAGGTCTTTCAGTTTCACTCTTAGACATCTGTGAAGCAGAAGAGGGCTTTAGGCTCCATTATGTACCTTTAACTTCATCTTGTTGTAATAGACTTCTCTCACAGTACTTCTCTCCATAAGAATGAATGTGATTGTAGTCTTCTATTTCATTTCATTAATTTTGTTCAGTGATGAAATGGCGGGGGGAGGGAAACCCCTTAAGCTCCAGATGAGTTAAACTGAGCAATTCAAGTGGGCTTTGGCTCAATGTGGCATCTTGCTTTTACCAGTCTTGTTGATTACTGGACAATTAGTTCCTACTTCTAAGGTAAATGGTTCAATAAGACTTTTCTAGCTTCCGTCTGTTGAATCTCCGTGGGAGCATGTTGTCCTCTGCAAAAAAAGCATATGTGGTCCAGCCACAGCCTTTATCTTCAAAGCAACTTGTTTCTGTACACTTTGTATTCTAGCCATTTGTGGCTTTTCCTGTTATTGCCATGTTTCTTTTCTTTTTTCCTTTTTTTTTTTTGCTTTGTTTTTTTTTTTTGTTGCATATGGTGATGGTCTTGAGTGCTAGCCGCTGTCGGTCTTTCATGGTCAATATCCACATAGTTTTGTGTATAATCATTATTTATTTAATCTGCTATTTGTTTTTAATGTGAAAAGAGAATTAAATGCTTTGCCCCTGTGCAGAAAATTTCATTTTATTAGAATGTTGTGGCAGTAATGCTTTTATCTGCGGTATCCTTCTCAGAATAATTTGAGATGTGTTAAAGATTCGACCTTTGAGAATAGAGGGAACAAAGCAAGGCCTTTCTCTTAGTTTATGCTATTAAATTGGAAGTGTCATCTCTCCAGTACCATCTTCCTCTAGGTATGTACATCAGCAGCTAAGGAGCAAATCCTTAATTCAAAATTAATAAATATTATTTTTCTTTCAATTTCTAGGCCTAAGTGTAAACACATAGGAAGCTTAATGGGCTAACTTGATGTTGGGTAGCTCGTGTCTGTGACAAATCTCTTGTATATTATGTGAAATATTGTGGATGTTGTTCTGTAATGCAGTATGTACAACGTTGTTGTCAGCTGTCTTAAAACTATAAAGGAGACCATCTGCTTCAGTACCGATATACAAATAGTACTGAATCTGATGAACCTTGGTGAAGAAAATGTACCCGTTTCCATCTAATAAAAAGTACTTTCTGACCTTGTGTCTGTGTTTAATCAGTCCACTCTCTTCCTTGTGTTTTGGCTGACCCAACAAACACAACCAAACTTCTTAATATTTAGTGGGTTGTGAACATACTGTATTGCTTGGATATTTGTTGATAACTTTAGCTGATCTGAACTATGAATTAAAGGCAGTTAGCTTTAAAGTGAAATTATTGTTTCCTTCTCTGCAGGCTACTACTTAAGCGTGGTAAATGACTAGACAAAAATGTGAAGACCTCAAAAAAAAAAAAATTCCAAAACACAATTTCATCTGTTAGAGTGGAGTGCAGTGAGGACTGAGAGAAGTAGCCCTTCAACAGAGCGAGATAATTGGAAAAAAGAAAGGCTTTGTTTTTGGCAGTAAGGCTCCTGCACTGTTGTTGTTAAATAATCCCCTTTGTGATTTCCTCAGGATCTTTCTGCATCTTAGTGTGACAAGATGCTTTTTTTTTTTGTTTTTTTTAACGATAGTAACAATTTTATAGGTTAATGTTGCTTCTTATCTGTTGTGCAAATGGAAAAGCATGGAGAACTGGTTCCTGGATGTCTAATTGTCAGTTGAAGCTTAATCCAACAGTGAGATAAATGTTGACGTTAAAAAGCTTGGAAAACTTGTCTCTATTTAGCAATATGCTATTAGCATCATATAAGGAGCTGGGAACAGAGTCCAGTGCTGGCCAAGATGAAAATTACTGTTGGTTACTTTAGCTTTTAGAATATAAGGAACACTTGCATTTGTAACCTGCTTTACAATTCTCCAAAAACTTAAGATTTTTATCAAAGGAAAGTGAAGGTAAATGCCAGCCTACTCTTGTGGTATCAACAAGAGACTACACATTAAGACTATGCAAGAGACGACTCAGCTCGTATATTCAAATTTTATGAAGCTGCCTTGAATGAAAGGGGTCCTGCTAATAATTCTATCCTCTAGAAGATAGACTGGAAGTAGTTTATGAGACTATTCCTTATAAAGTGCTATTTAAAGGCTAAATTTTGCTTGGTATCCAAACTTGTGCCAGGATAGTGTATGACCACGCT